TACAGCGCCCTTGTGGACGCTGGCCTGAAGCCGGTAGCTGTTGTATGCGATGAACGGTGCCAGAACGTGTCTCTTTTTCTAGCATCGTAACTGCCGAAAAGCCTTACGTAAAGATCAATGGCAAGCCACTTTTTTTTCCCCTTTTCGATGCTCCGCACCTTTTGAAGTGACTAAGAAACATGTTAATTAAATACAACTAAAAAGTTCGTGATTACATAGTGAAAAGTTCCTACATCAAGGGAGCTTATGAAAAGGACCGTAAACTTGAGATCGGTTCTATGCCAAAGCTGAAGGAGAAGCATTTTAATTTGACCTTCTCGTCAAAGATGTCGGTGAAACTAGCAGCTCAAATGTTTAGCAATCACTGCGCAGCTGCAATGTACGCCCTTGTTACTTCTTAGAAATTGCCAGCCAGAGCTGTTCACACAGCGAGATTCGTTGAAAGAATCGACCGTCTCTTTGACAGCCTAAATAGCTCGCAGAAATCTGCAAAGACGTCATATGCCTCTGCAATCTGTAACGGCTCTATCCATGAGGAGTTTCTGAAAGAGTGCATTTTGGTTTCTAAGAGCCTGCAAGTACTCGGATGTGGAAGGCAGCCGCACTGCATTCGTGGCTTCTGCTTAACAGTTAGGTCTCTACTGCTGCTCAGCAATCACCTCGCGGTTAATTGCGGTTTTTACCACCTTTTAAACCGCTATCTGAACCAGGACACCCTTGAAAACACTTTTGCTGTTATACGTTCAAAATCAGGTGCAAACACGAACTCCACTTTCCGTCAATTTCAGGCTGCGTTCAGGCACCTTTTGATTAGCAACCTATTCAAGCTGTCGGAAAAATCAAACTGTGCTGATGACATGTCTCTCCTTGCTACGTTCCCAGCAGGCCTTTTGGCACCTTCTCCTCGTCTTGCCTTAGGAAGCACAGTTTTTCTTACCACGGCAGACGATTCGCCTTCAAACTACCCTTTGGCAATAGGAGAGAACAACATGGTTTATTTTGCTGGGTGGCTGGCATCGAAATTCCTCAAGGTTCATTCCTGTGTAGGAACATCCCAGAAATATGAGTTGAGGACAGAAAACGCGTGTTTTTCCGAGGGAAATCAAGTGCTCTTGTAATTGAGTGTGAAAGGAACTGCCGACTCCCACTTTGGAATCCTCTCAGTTCCTTCTGCTTCTTTCATATTATTTGTTGAAGCTTGTGAGGAAGTCTTCGAGACAAGTATCAACAACCTAATTTCAAAGGAGAACGTAGGGCGGACTCTTTGTGGCCTTTTTAACCAGAAGATTTCAAAGTCTCTGACTGCATGTGACGAAAGTGTTTATGATAATTTGTTTTCTCTGGTTGCCAGAGCCATTCTGCACTGGTTCGCGCGGAAAAAAAATGCTCACTATTTGATACAGTAGCAAAGTGTAAAGCTAGGCAGCAGGTGCGCAGACTACGTATGTGAGACCACCCAGGGTACTTTTTAAAGCAGTGCAGGCATGTTCTATTCGAGCCTTTCATTTTCTTCGGTTTCTTGAGGAGTAATGTGGTCCTCTAATTTATTCACATATATGTGAATAAGTTAGTTTTGCTTCACCAGCTGTGAAGCAAAACTGGCTTATGAAGTGCAGCATACCACAGGGCTCCAAGAGGGTTTACTCCACTTGGCTTCCTTGATCTGCACCAAACAATCGCTGCGTTGCCGTGTAGCAGCACCAGCAGATGCAAGTTAAGATATTTTCAGCATTATGGTACCTTGCCCAAGGAGAGTGTAGAAAAGTGTAGCTTTTCTGTGTATTACAGTGGTGGCCTCAGTTGTCGTCGGAACACTGTGGAACCTCCGAGTTATTAGTGGCTGCCTATCAACTGCCAATGTCCTCACAACGTCCAGCCGATTGTACAATGTCTTATGTTATAACAGTGTGCCTTATGTACCGATCTATTAATTTTCTTCGACCATGACCTTTTGAAAATAGTTGATACCGATTGTATAATTCTAGTGAGTAATCTGAGTGAATGATTGTAAGTGAATAAAACAAATAAAACGCAACTGTTGAAGCGACGTTGGACTTGCATTAGAGTTACTGTTGTGTATTTCATACGCCCAACACACTCCAGCAATTTGATTCACTCTTTTTTGTAACATTACATAATTTGCTTTCAGGTTTCTCACATATTTCCCAGGAATCCTGAAGGAACAAAAAGCAAAACACTGCGGCTGGAGTTTGACCACAGTGCAAAGACACGATGGTTGTGACGAAATGAAACTGCTCTCATAGCAGGTCGGCTAACAAAGTCGGCTGCAGAAAAAAAAACATTTCGAACAAAATATAAGATCAAGGGCAAATAAGGGTGTAAACGATCCAGTATTCCCGTATAGAGTAAACACAAGGTGTAAACACCCCAAGAAAAACCCGAGACTGCAGGTAAAAAGAATGACATATACACTAAAAATTATCAAACAAAGCTCAAACATGGAGCTATGTTTGAGACTTTTTAGTGTATATGTCGTTCATTTACCTGTGATCTCTGGAATTAGTTTTGTTTAATTTTCGCGCCAAACCGCACGCACGCATGACGTCACGTTTTTTTCCGGAAGTGTCGTCATTTCCTGTTGATTTTTTGTTCCACCGGAAGTGTCCCCACGACTCATAGATGGCGCTAAAGCAGCTCCATGGGCCGCCATTTTTTCGACATGTGGGCTTCTATGGAAGCTTCGCTACCCATGTACATATACCTTGCTCGGGGTTAATAGGAGGTAGGGCGTGGCAAAAGCTGCGTCGCCAAAGAGCGTCAATAGATCCGCCACCGAGAAGAACCGCACGACGCAAAAAAAAAAAAAGAAAGATGCTGCAACCCAACAAACAAAAATTGCGATTGATTGAGATTGTAACATAATTTATATGACTGCGGTTTGGAAAATCGAGAAATTCAAATTCTCGAGACTCGATTCTTCCAACTGTTTCCTTGTTTTCAAAGGCTGGTGTGGAGTACCACATCCATGAACACCACACAAAGAGACAACTCCGCTCACACTTTTCTGCAGTTTCCTCGCGCCGGCAGACTTCGAGCTAAGTCAACACGCTAGAGGGCTCGGGATTGCCAGCGAAAAGGGGCACCGCAATCCGGTTGAACTGACCGAGGGAATCGAGTCGTACGACCGGAAATACTGTCAAGTATCTTTATTCACCTGCGTGATCACGACGAGAAAAGGAACACGCAGTTGTGCTGTCATAAGGGACTACATCTGCCATGACTCCGTTCATGCACGCTACACTGTTAGCAAGGTGCACGAGTGGCTAAACGACAATACTCCAGCGTATGCTCCTGTGACCTACGTCAGTGATGGTTGGGCAAGCCACTTTAAGAAGAAATACCAACTACACCAGCTCCAGAAAAACAAGTACACGTCACCGAAGTGGATTTTTGCGCAACTGGACATGGCAAGAGTGCCTGCGATGGAATCGGGGGTCTTCTGAAGCACCAGGCAACGTTGTACTACCTCCGAGGGCTCACCACGTCGGTGATCAAGTTGGCGTCAGAGATGGTTGCACCACTGAACACTAAACTGCCGAACTGCCGTCGAAGCTGACTTCAATGCGTTCGGGGACATGAAAGCGAAGGATTGGAACTCTGTTTCTTTTGTGCGTGGAATTCACTCCTGTTACTTGTGGCAGTGCACGCTCTCCGACTCTTCGCAACCACAGCTGTTTGTAGCAATGGCAGTCGACGCAGAAAATGTATAACTTTGAAAGTAAACTTTCCTATGCCTGCGAAAAGCAGATCAAGGTCGCGAGCTTGCGATGCCACTGAGAGAAAACAAGCAGTAATTGCTTCAGGCAAAACGGGAAATTTTTTTTCTCCTTGAAGTGCCAGGAGAGCGCCGTGACCGAGTTAGGTCAGCATCCAGCATAGAGAATGCACGCGACAAGCGCTGAATGTGCGCACAAAATCTTCATTCATTAAAATCGTTTGAATTGTACCACTTACATCAGTTGCCTCTTATCGCTGTTTATACCTCGTTGTCAGGAACCCAGCCTCCCTAAGAAGGATATGCTCCGAAATTCACTGATCTTAGAAATTGTCAAATCTGTATTTAAATTGTTGACTTGTGCTTTAATATGATGCGTAATATTTTGTGTGAATTTCTATTTTATTAACACGCACACAAGAGTCCGATGCTTTGTTACGACATTTATTATCCTGTACTGTTTACACACCTAATCATTGTATTGCAGCAAGTAAACCCAAATAATTTGCACTCCCTATGATATATTTTATTTTATGACAAACATGTTATTAAATGTGTTAAAGCTGAACACATAAAAATCGACTGTATCAGAACTCAATGCATCAAATGGAAATAAGAAACAGTAAATCTTGTTCGGGTTATTGTTTCCTGTCAACGCTTACTTTTAGAAACATGGTCCTACAATTTTTTTAAACGTTGTGTTCTCTTAGGACCGGTGTGAGTGTGGCTGCATTCACGAAAACAAATTTCCCATCAAGCCTTTCGCATTGATACAGCAATTTGAAAATAATTACAATGCTTTATATTTAAGCTGGGCGAGCAATCTTTCCCGCAATATTTGGCCACCAAAGAGAGAGGCCCAGCGTCGCATGCGCCTCGGGCTCCTGCAAGAACGACGGTCGCCTCCCGCAATGCTTGGATCGAAAAGGGCGTATCATTTCGATTCACACCATTACTAGAGACCTCCGCACTTCCCGTGCCCCGTTGTTCGGCAGCACCATGAATGGTGAGTCACTTTTACGACAGTGTGAAATTCGGGACATTTTAAAGATTTTGGAATTTCTCGCTGGACGCGGGACACGAGCCGTCAATGCGGGACAGTCCCGCGAGTCGCGGGACGGGTGGTCACCCTAGCTGCGAGGGATCATTCAGGAAATTGGTGGTCTTTCATAATGTTAAGCCAGAGAAAAAGAAAGTGGTTTAAATAAAAAGAAGATTCTACGACTTAAATGTTAAAGTTTTCAGAATTTTCATAACACGTTTATTATCTTGTTTTTGGTTCAGGGCAATTGCCGATAGTATATCTGAACCCCGTTGATTTGCAGTGCTGCTGGAATTTGCTCAAGCATATTTCTGGAGGTTTGGGAAAACTTTCTCTTGTCACCATCAAGTTACAGGCTATAAAAAAGTCAGAAAAGTAAATTTAATTGTAGTGGACACACTATTTTCGCCTTATGCTTGTTTCATTATTGATCTGACTAAACAAAGCATCAAACTGATTTTCCCGGCCAACACTCAGATTTCAAGAGTACACAAAATGAGAGCACAACACTGGTGTATTTATAAAAAACGCTATAGCTTAAATGAAGAAGTTTTTGAGGCCATCTGCACACCCCCCCCCCCCTAAAAGTACAGTAAGTAGAACTATTGCGTTTTTAACAGGACGTAAACCTTGCTATATGGCCAGAATTTAATCTTTATGTACGTCTTGTTATCATGTGTGTGAAGCACACGTATTTTCTTTGCTGGTTAATAACACTTTAGCAACGAGTACATCTTCGTCCCTTCGTGTTTGTCTTGTCACTTCGCCTTCGTTGTTTGAGCTAAAACTAAGTATACACAGCTTATCAACGACACTCCAATTGCTTCTGTGTCAATACTGTTACCATCATGCAGCTGAACTAGACGACTAACATTTTGCACGCGGAAATTCATTACGACGAGGAGTGTTGTTTCCGCACACTCCGTCTCATAAAATCTTAATGTACAGTGGTCACCAAGCTAATCCGGAATATGCGAACGGTTTTTTTCTAGTGGGTGCTCTATCTTGACTGCTGAACAACTGCTCTATAACTTAGCGCTCAAGGAGCAGCCCGAGCAGGGGAGGCCGCATGCTGGACCGTCGACACCATAGTAATCTTGCCGGCTAACCAAGTTATGCTGATCGCCACCATTTCGTACGTAGAGGATTAGGTGACCCTCGAAACACTAAGTGATTGGATTATTTATTCAGTAAGCATTTGACACTTCTACTCAATAAGGCGAAATATGTAGCACCTTTGCACAGCTCGTTTGCCTCGCAGGCAAACGTGCAGTATAGTCTCCGGTCCCGAAGCAATTTCTGCCTCGAACGGGGTGCTTCCCCTGCTCGGACTGTTCCATTAATTGAGCGTTGTGTCGAGCAGTAGTTCTTCGGATGCCGCGCGAACAGCACTCCCATGGGATAAGACAAAGTTAACGAGTTCCGAGTAAGTTTAGGGAGCACTGCACGTAATGATTTTATCCCAGAATTTAAGTGTTATCGACCACTCTTGCATTCCTATAGACATTTTCAAACCTTGCCTTCAGCAACTCCATCTTTGTCCAACGTGCTGTGGAAGGTGTTCTTAGCGTGCGAATTTGCTCTTCTCCACGAAATATTATATTAAAATGTGCTTGTGCTAGCTTGTCTATAGAGAATGGAAAGCTAAACCCGCAAACAAAACGGGGTCAAGAAAGATACACACACGACAGGACAGGAGAGGACAGGGGAGAGTAGAGCGCCTGTCCTGTCGTATGTGTATCTTCCTTGTCACCATATTGTTCGCGGTTTTAACCTTTCTTTCGGAAATATTATACGCCGCGCATGCGTCGACAGCCCAGTGACTCCGCATTTTTCGCGTAGTTGACAAGCGCTGGAAAGCTTTATACTTGTTTCTTCATAATCCTGGCGCAGTAGCCACATCGAGCCGAAAGGACCAATCAAACAGCGTCAAAACAACAGCTTTATAATGGTCATCATGTTTCTGCTATAATAACGTAACCAATCTTGTAAAGCGAAGGCTTAATGACATTCGATTTTAGTGTGTGTATTCGTGGTTGTATGTGTTTGTGTCTGACTGCGCGTGTATACGCATAATGTAACGAAATATAGATGCTTAGGAACGTTATTATATTACTTTATGTGAGATAAGTAACGAGTTATCTATAAAACAAACTTGCTACAATATTGTGTAAATAGATTACATCTTAAATTATGTACGGCAACTGTAATCTAGCACTTAATAACTACAATATAATGCATGAACAAATTAGAAGTAATCTATTTTTGAATGGAGTAGTTTCTCAGTTTGATAATAACGCGCTCAAGGGTATCGCGTCCCAAAAAAAACGGTATCATCACCCCTGTGCGCTCCGAACACAAAGCACCCTTTCAGCTTTAGCTGCGCAAGCTAGTATTCAGGAATCAAAAGAGAATGGTCTTGGGTACAAGAAATTGGCAGAGAGCATAAACCAAGACGAGCCGCGTTAAATCCGGAGCTATGGTGGGCTAGAAGGATAGAGCGGTCCCGCGATTCATCCTACCAAGCGTTGCCCAGTATATGTATGGCAAGCACCGGCACCTATGTCTCTAAGGACTAGGAGGGCTGCAGACGCTTACTTGGCCCAGCACACGAGCGGGAGGAAATTTATGAGTGTGGGCACAAGGTCAAGAGTAGCGTGGATTCACAGATGCAGCGCGGTGTGTAGTTGAGGCGCTGCTGTCTTCTCTAGGATAATGCCATGATAATAGTATCACGGCGGCATAAAACGTGGGCGACACCTCCTGGAGAGCAAACCGTAGAGCTGAAGTTTCGACATTGCCTACAAGAGGCCATCACGGGGCACAGATTGGACACAAGCATAACGTCAGCGTTCGGCTATTGAACTCCTGTTCAGTCATTGAGGACACGAGTGCCAGCCGAACGTCGACGCAGCACTCGTGGCTTCTTTTAGATGAAGCCGACATTACAGCACTACGACCTTAGCATTTTAGAGGGTTTGGCGTGGGACCGATGTAGGCAGCCTGTAGAGCGGTCATGAAACTACCCCTTTTAGCAAATGACACCGGAGCTGAGTACTTCTTTCTAGAAAAATACTGGACAAAGTCTCCGCTTCGAGAACCGGAGCTATTACCGATATGCCAAACCCACAGATGACGGTAGCATCTCCGACAAAAACCTGGCGCTTAAAAATCCATTTCTGTTCAGGCGGCGTGCCAGGCATTGCCATTGACCGGTCCTATTTGTCATCGGATGACAGAACATTCTGAGTAGTCGACACTTTTCTCAAATGCGAAAATTCCAACGGCTCCATGTTCTCCTTGCGTCAACTAGAGCCATTTCTTGGATTGGTGTCTCGATCAAAAATATGTCATCTCAGAATATCTGTATTGCATTCACACATCGTAATGTATTTGCCGGAGATATGGAGATGTAAAATGGCTGTAAGGGAAGTTCTGGTGATCGCTCACTTCGTCCAATGCGAAAGAGTGGTCCTACACCTTAGCCGAGAGTGAAATGTATCGTCCGTAGACAAATATAATATTTACGCTCTTACAGGACGTAAATAGTTTGGGTGGCCGTCGTACCGGCCTGCGGTCATGAATAACTACTGAGTGGTGCTCTTTAAAGATCCCAGGATAGCGGTTGTACCACACTGCCTAAATTGCCCAACTACAGCTGAGACACTAGACGCCTATTGGTGCTCACTGACGACTGGCTATATAAGCTTGCACATATCAGAATCACAACCACCAGAGACACGTGCGTATCAAGTGACCTAGGTGTAATTACGGACATATCTGCAGTTCCGCTGCCAGTCCGCGGGCCTGACTATAGATCCCATGGTTATTGTGGGCAGAAGTGAGGGCTGCGTGTCCGAGCTCGTACCTTCGATTGCTCCCTTCGCTGCACGTATTACCAAACGACGTCAGCACCTATCAAAGTTGTGACCTTGCGCTCCTAGCTTTCGCTGCACTCCAAGCTTAAAAAGAACCACAGCACAGCGCACGTGACGCTCAATTTGTTATCAGTCAGGGTATGCTAAATCTGCCAGCAAAGTAGACGAATATGAAGAACACTGGCGAAGAAACGACATTCTTTCTAATATTACTCGTACTAGAATTCCTACCACTGCAGTGCCTCGATCGAATACGATCGGCACTCGAAGCATCGATATTAAAGTCCCACTCTGGCGTCAGTGCAGAAATGCAGCGGCGCTCCTGCCGGCATCGGCCTCACAAGGCAGGTGAAATATTTGAACGCTGACTGATTCGCGTGAGCCGCGCTTTTTTTTATTTGTTGTGTCTCCGATGCCGCCAGAAAGGGGTAAGCAAGCACCTTCGTTCGGAAGAGGGGAATCTGCGGCCGAGTGGGCTAGGCGCACTCGGTCACCGATCCCTCTTCCCAGTGGAGCACGGAGCACGTGGAGCGAAATCTCTCTTTGCAAAGCCCAGGATCCTGGGTTCAAACCCTACCCCTGCCCGTTTCGATCTGGATGATCATCCTACTGGCGCGCGGTCGAGTACCACCACTGCGTGGTGCACGTTAAACACCCCCAGGCTAGGGGTTGTACTGCACTGGCTAAACTGCTCGTCTATAGCGAATGACTCGTCGCATCTTTGAAATGACTGACCAACTACACGCTGTTTAAATATTGTGAGGGTGAAAATATAGGTGTATTTAATGAGAGGATGTATAAATACAATGCTGTGCAACCGTTATCAATGTCCTTCGGGGAACAGACTGCGCGCGCCCAATGCACTTGCGTGAGACTTCTCCTTCGTACTCCATTTTTTCACAACAATATCCCTCCGCCGTCGAAAGGGCGGGTCATCCGGCACTTGTGTTAGAGTTAGTTTTCTTGGCGGTAGTATGGCTTCATACGGGCGATATGATCAATGTCGCTTGATTTGGAGCGAAGATCTTGAGGCGACGAAAGTGGGGCTACCCCATAGTTGGGTGGCGAGAGTTGACGCAGAACACGGAATGGGCCTACAAAGTGCTACATATGTTTCTCACAGAGATCGGGGGCGCGTGAAGGGGTCCACAAAAACCTCGTCTCCAACGTTGTAATATGCCGGGCGATAAAAGTCAACGTGACGCAATTGTTGCTGCTGCTGAGACTGTAAGGTGTGAATGCGGGCGAGTTGACGGGCGTCCTCCGCCCGGCATATTACATCTGCTGTATAAAGCTCAACCGTGTTATCTTCAATATAAGGTAGGATTGTGTCAAGTGGGGTGAGTGGCTCACCGGCATACAAAAGGTAGTAGGGAGAGCAACCGGTAGTAGCCTGACAGGTAGTATTGTAAGCGGAGGTTACGTACGGAAGGACGGTGTCCCAATTAGTGTGATCCTCTGAAACATAGATAGAGATC